GAGAGTTTTTAAGAATAGTTAATACCAGGGTAGCTCATTACCACTTGTAATGTTGGTGGAGAAGGAATCTGGATTTAACCATAATGCTTCAACAAGGTTCAAACCACTTTTTCAAAGCTACAGTAAAATTCATGATTTCTCACTTCCCTGCTAAAATTGAATGTACATGTGGGTTTTTCCTCAACCATATATCTCAAAAGGGAAAAGGATATAGGAATAGATCTGTAGGAACAGATCTACAGGAATGGTAGGAGACCTGCCCTTACCTGGTGCCTCCTGCAGTGCTGTGTCCATCACCCCTCACTCAGCCAGAACAGCTCTGCACTCTACAGCTTCCTTTGTGCACTACACAAGGGACTTACTAGAGTTAAAAACAGCTTTATTTAGTTTACTTCATTTAAACCCAGTGTGGAGGATGAATCTGGAACAGCTGAATGAGTTTAGCAGTTCTGGACTCATTCTGCAAATAAGCTGGGCTCAGGAAAGCAGAGACAGCTGCTCACACACCTGGTGAGGGCCTGCAGGAACCCTGCTCCATCCTGGAATTGCAGAATATCAGGGAGCACAAGGGTCCCCAGGGTCTCAGGGAGGTCTCTGTCTCTGTCTTTAAGTCAGATTTCCCCAGCACAAAGATTTTTTTCAGCGCTTTCCTGCTCACACCTATTCACCCCTTGCCATCACAGGCAGTGTTCCCCCTCAAATGCATTATTTGTATTTGCCAGCAACCAAGAACTGCCTGACAAAAAGAACCCCCCAGACAAGTCTGGTCACCCTGCTTTTCTCCTCCTATCACCACTCACTCCAAAGCCTTTCACAGCCCACAGCTCATTTTCTGGGAGCCCCCAGCCTGGCAGCTCTGCAGCCCAGATTTTAAGCATTTCATGATTCAGTCAAACACAGATAAAGTTCCTCCTGTGTGTAATCAGGATTAAGAAAACACTAAAATACATGTCCAGGTTTCAAATCCCGGCTGTTCCCATTAAATGGGTTTCTCCAGAAGAGAATGAGATGCAGGTGGGATTGTCCAGGGCTGAGCACAACTTCAGCAGCTCCCACTGCTGCCTCCCCTAGGTGGAAGTGCAACACCTCTGACAGTTAATTAATTATTCTTTACATTAATTAACAGATAAATTTTTCAAGAGAAAAATACCTGGATGTTATCATCTGGGAAAAATTCCTACATCAGCTGTGCCAAAGGAAAGTATTACTTTTTTAAAATAATATTATTATACTTTATTACACTCAGAAAGTGAAACTTCAGGGGTATAAAACTAACTACTCTTTAAAAATAAAGCCAATGCTATGGCCTGCATTTCAACTGACCAAATTTCAACATGCAGATTTTAACTTTACAGTAATAAAATACCACCTAACTCCTTTATTTCACCAGCTGCCCACCACCTTCACTCAATCAAGACTGAGAATCCATAAGATTTTTGAACTCCTGCCACTTCCCCTCACTCTGTATGAAGTCTTTTCTTTGTATTAGACAGTACACTAAAAAAAAAAATAAATCAATATACAGTAAATTTCAGTTGACTGTAGTCAAAGCTCAAAGGTTTTTTCCCCCCTTCCCACCCTTGTTACCCCAGCAGTGCTCTCCTGGGTACACTTCTGTTTAAAAGGCCATCAGCTCTGATCTGGTTTTCATCTGTCTCAGTGGACCAGAGAACTGTGTGGCTTTTTGAGCTCTGAATGAGGAAAGCACTTCTCAGCTGATGCAAACCTGCAGCCTTTACCTAATCCTCTCCTGGTTAAGGCACATCACAAGGTATCACTGATAATGATTTAATTTTTTTCCTGCAATTCATTTTCCTACACCACGTCCTACAAAATGTGGACTATCAAATCTCCACTGAAAAGTCTGGGTTACAATTCTAAACAGCTTCACTAAATCAAAGGTGGAGATGTTGGCACAGGAGGGAACTACAGCTCTTCCAATTTCATTTTTCTGCATTCCAGTTGTTTTTCAGTGGGCTAATCACTGACTGAACTCCCCCTGGTTTGGCTGAGAGAGGGAAACTTCAGCTTGAGAGCTGCAAAACCAACCAACCAACCAACAATACCTGAAATAAGAATTGCTGTCACTGCAGATATATTTTAAAGACAGCAGCAGTAGAGCACCAAGGCAAGTCCATTTCCAGAGCCAGTTTCTGTGGCACATTCAGTTTTGAAGAACCAAAACATTAGGTTCCTAAGCTTCTCCAAACAAAGGTTAATTTCACAGTATCCTGCCATTTAACCCATCTTGACAACACCCATACACAACAGGAGCTTAAGCAAGGCTTGCATCACACAGGTCCCTTCAAAAAGTCATTTCTCATCACTTCTATCTTCAGTAGTGCTCAACTTCAATGCATGCCAGGGGACTCCAATCCACTGTTCCCTGGTTTCCCAGCATGAACTGGCAGATTATGGATCTGACAGCACAACAACACAGACCTAGCTCCAAGCTGAGCACCAAAGAGGATTAAAATTTACTTTACAAATGAACAAACTTCCCACTTTCCTTGATTTTCTAGTAAACCAAGACCACTTATATTTTTATATATTTATTATTATAATTATTTCTCAAGTCATCCAAAGTCAGGAGGGATGCTCACCTCCAGCCCCAGTCACTCCTCATCACTGACCACTTCCCTGTCCCTTCAGGCTTGGTGAATTCCTCACACCACTGTGAATACACACAAAAAATCTTGTTTGCAGACTGCATTAATCTGTGTCTTCTGGTATCAGAGTAAATCCTGATGATCACTTCCATACATATAAAACCACTGGATTATGTCACTTTTAAGACTCAGCCTCTTCCAGGAAGAACAGTAAAAAGATTGAATCTATTTGCAGAAACCTCCTGTTGCTGTATCACAACAACATTAAGATGTTCTTGTGGTATTGCAATGGGAAAATTCCCACAAGAACATAAACATAAACAACATCAAAGACAGCAAAGCTAGCTCAGAAAAAAACAAACAACCAAAACCACCGCCCCTGCAGAAGTGGTTGGAAGCATTTGTGGGTGGAAACTTCAGAAGCATTATAGAAAACTGACAGGAAAATATGGCACTGCTCCTTAGCCACGGTGACGTGATCTTTAGGAATTTAAAGAACAAGTTGTTTAGGCAGGTCCATATTTCACATCCAGCTCAAGGGTTTGCAGGGTGTGCATGCTCAAATTTCCAGACAAGACCCCAACTTAGGTGAGCAACACTGGAGCTGAGTGAGTGACAGAGCCACAGGAGTCACCACCAGAGCCTGCCACCACCCCATAGCAAATCCCCCAAACCCAGTGGTTTAACTTCCTCAACACAGAAAAAACCAAGCTGCAGATCAGCTAGACATCCCCTACCTGTTCTATTCATGGAGGTGACATCCACAAAACCCACTCTGGAAAAACCCCACAGCCACTGGCAGCCCACAGATCCTGTGCTCCGAGCAGCACCTCCCACTGCTTTATTCCAGAAAACAGCACAGCTTCCAGCAGCGCTTCCATCCAGCCCCGGCTGTGCAAGGGAGTGAGAGACAGGAGCAGAAGCAGCACGGATTTTTGGGAGCGCTGGGAAGAGCCAGCGTGGCAGGACAGAGCTCACAGCACCTTCAGCCACAGCCCCAACACCAAGTCAGCAGCGTTTTGGCAAGAGTTAAGCACCTTCACCAATCATCCCCCTCAAATGCATTTGCCAGATTACTATGGGAAGTCTCCTGCATGACAAACAACTTTCTGGAACAATTCCACATGGGTACTAACACACTTTCAGCGCTTACAAGTTCAGTATTTCCATTCCTGATTTTAGTTTTGTTCGTAATTCCCCATATACATTTCAAAAATACATCACTGAACAAGCCTGGCATGCAGCTTAAGCTGGAGTTCAAGTTTCTCTTGCAAAATACAGCAGTCAATACTTTGGAGAGTTTCTTGTCCTTCATAAGCTCCTGGTTTTGATTTTTGCACTCAACAGAAATACTGACACTCTTCCCCCCGTGTAAAACACGACAGCTAAAAATCAGTATTGATTCTGTGCGTGTGTCAGTGGCACCAGTAAGGTACACCTAACTAGCCCTTCCCACCCCAGGCTATCGCTGGATCATTCCCCAGCAGGAACGGGCTGATCTCCCTCCGACGCATCCCACAAAATGGTGCTTGGATCTGGGTTAACCCCAGCAGGCTGGGCTGGCAACAAGGCGACACAACACGATGCTGGGGACACCAGCAGCTCGCACCCAGGCTGGTACGAGCCATGAAGTTGCCCGAGAAGGCAGACCAGCGGCCAGGGAAGGAGCGGAGGCGGCGGGCGCTGCAGGGGCTCTGCGGGGAGCGCGGCAGCGGCTGAGCCCAGCCGCGGCTGGAACTCGGGGCCGGCTCGCCCCGCTCTGCCCGCCCGACGGCAAAGTTCCGCCTGGCCACGACTCACCCGAGCCCGCACGGCCGCGAGGGACGTGCAGAAAGAGCGAAATTCTCATTCGAGAGCGAAAGGAACAAGCTTTTGAACGAGCCTTCACTGGCGAGGTGCGGGGGATGTTTGAGCCCAACACGGCAGAGCCCCGCCGACACCAGAGCTGGGGGCGAGCTCCGTGCGCGTCTTCTCGCATTCGAGACAATTAGCATTTAATTAAAAGCAGAGCCAGAGCCGCCCAGCTTTAGAACTTGAGCAACTCCAGACTCAGAGCAATTTTACAGGGGGAAAAAGCCCAAACCCCGCGCACACGCTCAGACCGCCGGCAGCCGCACGCCGGTACCCGGAGCGCATCCCCAGCCCCGGGGGAGCCCCGGCCCCGGGACAGGCGGACTGGGGGGACAGCAGCTCCCTGCAGGTGGGCTCGGAGCCTCGCAAATGCACCTGCCAGCACCACCCAAGCGGACAGCGGCACGTACCGAGCGCCCGTGCCCGGCGCTGCATCCCCGGAGCGGTGTCCGTGTCCCCGGTGCCGCTTCCCCGCTCCATCCCCCCGGAGGGATGCGGGGGGCTCTACGCTCCCCAACTTTGTTCCCCGAAGTTGCCCACCTGCAGCCGAGCCGTTCCAGCCGCCGCAGCGCTGTCGTTCCCCCGGAGCCAGCGCCGTAATCCTGCGGCTCCCGCGGCTCCGGCGCCTCTTCTGGAGCGGCGCTGGCCGCGCTCCCGGCGGCGGGGCGGGCCCGGCGCGATCTCCCGCCCACCGCTCCTCACGGCTCTCACCGCCCCGGGCCCGCACAGCCCGGCCCGGTACAGCCCAGCCTGGTACAGCCCAGCCCAGCCCGGCACAGCCCCTCCGGGCACTGCCGGGCCCGCCGGCGCCGGGGATGCTCCGCTGGCGGCGGCCGCGGTTCCCCCGGGAGCCCCGCTGGACCCACCCGCTCAGGGTGGATGCGCTGCCGGGGAAAGTTGAGGCGTTATGGCTTAAATGAAAACTGCATCTCGTTTCTGGGCTGCAAGCCCAGGGAAGGAGTCAGGTTCACGTAGGTCGCTGTGCGGGAGCCGGATGGAGGTTTTATTGGCTCTGGCTCCAGCTGATCGCAGCATTAGAGCTGTGTGGTGTAATTAAGGCTGAGCAGAATTCCTTTAAGTCCTTTTTTTTTTTTTTTTTTTTTCTTTGCAGGTAATACTAAATTTCCTTCCCCCTGTATTATCTTTCAGCATCCCAAAGCACAGTGAAGCGTGTGTTAAAATAAAGTGTGCATTAGCTCCCTGTGCCTCAGTTTAAGTCAAATTTTTCCAGAGACGACTTTGTGTCAGAGCCACAGTGAGGTGTCGATGTAGGAGAGTCAATCATAGCACCACAGAATGGTTTGGGTGGAAAGGGACCTTGAAGATCATCACATCTATGCCATGGCAGGGACACCTCCCACTGTCCCCGGCTGCTCCAGCCCCAGTGCCCAGCCTGGCCTTGGGCACTGCCAGGGATCCAGGGGCAGCCCCAGCTGCTCTGGGCACCCTGTGCCAGGGCTGCCCACCCTACAGGGAAGGATTTATTCCCAATATCCCATCTAAACCCACTCTCTGTCAGTTTGAAGCCATTCCCCCTTGTCCCATCACTTTATCCCCTGTCAATTGTCTCTCTCCATGTTCCCTGGGGCTCCTTCAGGCCCTGCAAGGCCACCCTGAGCTCAGCCCAAAGCTTCTCCTGTGCAGGTGAACAATGCCAGCTGTGCCAGCCTTTCCTGCCAGCAGAGCTGCTCCATCCCCTGATCCCCTGGAGCCTCCTCTGGGCTCTGCAGCAGCTCCAGCTCCTCCCTGTGCTGGGATCTTCCCAGAAGGGAGAAAGGACTTAATGGCTGTGGTTTTGTACACAGAGGAATTCTGGACAGGGTGGTGATGCTCTGCTGTCATGGCATAAGGAGGAAAGATGTGAGGAAAACAATTTGCTTCTTCAGCAAGTAAGATTTAAGTCAGTGCCACCTCCGTTTCCCTTCCTGTCCAGTTGTGTCATGAATTATTGAAATGTGCTGGCTGAGAAACAATGACATCTCCTCTGGGGAAAGTAGAGACTTGACACAGCATCTGTTGACCCAGACTTGGTGCAGGAGCCCTGACCTGAAGAGATGTCCTTACTTTTCCATTAATGTGCAGGTTTATAATTAAGAAATGTCCAGCACAGAAGTGCAGCCACTTCTGTAATGAAATGTGGCACTGGTCTGAGGAAGGGATGTCAAAAAAATAAATTATCTCAGGAAAACAAGATGCATTTTTAATTGGCAAAGTGTGATCAAATAGGACTCGTAGAGATGATAGAATTACAGGGATTTAATGAGCTACCATGAGCTGAGCACAGAGGTTTTTAGCAGCAAGGTCCAGCTCAGCCCTGGCATGGAGCAGGAGGGTGCTCCCAGCCTGTTTGGGCTCCTGTAGCACAGTCTGATCACTCCAGCACATCTCTGAAACTGCACTTTGGGCTTTTGCTTGCAAGATAATACTAACTACAGGCTATTATTGCACTAATCTTAGCTAGGACTGGGGTCAAGCCTTAGTTCCCCTGCAAGCTCAGGTAGGGCTGTCACCTCCTGTGCGGGGCAGTGGCTGAGCACAGGGCAGGAGCCAACCCCAAATGCAGATTTGGCTCCCTCAGAGCTGTGCTGCTCACATACTCACAACACCCCAGTCTTATGAGAGCTGACAAGGTCGGGGACCTGTGGCACAGCTCTGCACATGGAAATAGCAGCTTTAGCTGGGAAGGCCAACGTGAGAAGGATAGCCTGTGTTTTTATGCTTGACCAACCACAGAGGCTGTTCAAATTTTAAAAATGCATCCTGCAGCTTGCCTTGCCTGGTGTCCTTTGTCACCTCCAGCGCAGTCCCATCTTGGGACTCCTTTGGCCAACTAATATATTTTTTCAATTTCAGTTAAGTCAATGACTTCAAATTCCTATCATAGGTATCAAGTTCAGCCGCATAAAAGATACTTTTAAGTTTGTCAAAAAGGCACTCCAAGAGATTGTGAGGTTGAAAAGATGACTCTAATCTTTAGGATGACAAGTTAAAAAGGACAAAACCCACTCTTCCCCCCACTTATTTTCCAGCAACCCAGGCATGCAGAAATAGTGGGTTTGTAAGTGCTTTTCCTGTATTCATTTCAGAAAACACAGCAAAGGTGCAGTATCACCATATACTTACTGAAGGGAAGCAATTTGCCGACAGTGAATTCTCTGAGGTTACCTGGAATGTTTCCACACAGCCCCTGAGCCTGGGCTGCCCTTCTGCCACCTGGGGCTTCTGAACCCACTGCAATATTCACCTTCAATAATAACAACTGAATTACCAGTCTCACGCTCCTTCCAGCTAATGATTTTTATTTTTTTTCCATTTCCACTTGTCATTCAGACATCACTGTCAACAGCTCTCTGAAATTAAATGTGAAGAACAGCAATGCTTTGACTCTAGTGTTGTCTAATTAAAGCTTCCTAAGAATCAAAGTGGGAAAAAACACCCTGCACAGGTGTAAGCAGGTACATGAAGATCATATTTAAACTTCCCAATTAATAATTTGTTTTGAAGACCTGGCTTAACCCTGTCCATCCTGATGGCAGCTGTAGACCTAAAATATCAATTGAGCTTTTTTTCTTATTAACTACACCCTCTGACTGTTCTCTGCTTTAGTTGCTGTGTCCTTTTCCCAGCAGTTTTTCCCTGTTCATGTTTTCACCACATGGATTGCCCACATAACTTTTGTGTCCTGCTTTGACAAACCTTGTCTTTTTCAAATTTGAGATGGGAATTTAACCACTAGTAACAAGGAGACTCAGATACACCATAAATTCCTCCAGAAAAACAAACAAACAAAAAGAATAAATCAGTGTTCTTTTCCCAGCTGCTTTAGCTTTTGAAGAGTTTCTCTTACCACTGGCAGAAATACCAAGGAACTCTCCTCAAGCTTAAGCAGAACCTGGTTTGTAAAACATCTCTAGGACATTACCAAAGTGGGATTTTGCCAATGGGGCTCAATGAAAGACCATTAGTCTGACCTTACCACTGACAATCACCATCAGTCTCAATTAACTGAAACAGCCTAGAAAGTAGAATATTAGAAATAAATTTAAAACCTGTTGAAAATTTAGTTTTCAGTCCTTCTAGGCATAAAGGTTAGAGTAGCTCACCTTTTCCAATCACACTTTCAGACATAATTGTGTCAATGGCAAAAATATATGGTCACAATATAGGATCTTTTGGATGCAGATAAATGAGTAGAAAATCTACTCTTTCCTGTAATACTTATGGGATTCTTATTTACAGAGTGCTTAATGTCAATTTAATCTTCCTGATTTTTAAGTGACAATTCTCTCCTTAAGCTGACACTGATACCAACTAATCTGAGGCCTTGATCTGCAGGCCCAGTTAAGGGATTGTGCATTTATTTCAACATTGAGGTCAGCTGTAACAACTGGGGGTTTGTCTGTTTTGTTTTTTTAATCTGTATCAAAAGCCCAAGGGAGATTCCTTGGCGTGGTGGTGCCACAGGAGAAGCTGAATTCACTCCCTTGCCTGGTCCATGGTCACCGACACTGACCCCAACAATAGCCATGCTCCTCGTGTCCATGGCCAGCTGGATTTTGGACAATCCTGCTCCCCACAGGCCTGGGAGGTGTTATCTTAAAATAATTTTGTTCTCAGCACAGCTCTGGTCCAATTTCACTGAATTCAATGGTAACACTTCTTTTGGCATCGAACCCAATTGATTAAATCACCAAGCATCTTAAAATTCCCATTTCATTGCCTCCATGAGCTGCTGCTCGTGCTAATAAATGGAGAGTGCAACTGGTGTTGGGAGCAGCAGGAGGGAAGGGCCAGAAGGGGAGGCTTAATAAGTGGCTCTGGCTGTATGAAGGAAATTAATTCTGTGGCTGGATTAAAGAGCAGCACTGGAAGCCTCCCTTTGCCCTGACAGAATCTGCCTTTCAGGGTTTACACCTCTGTAATAACCCCAGTGGTGTTCTGGGGATGGAAATGTCCTTCATGCAGGCAGGACCTGCAGCAGGCCACAGTGACTATCCCAAAAGCCATCAAAGAAAGTGGATTATGTGCAATTGTGCTGGAGAGCATCTCACAGAAAGAAAATGATAATAGGAAGGTTAAGTGCCCAGCAAGTGCAAACTGATATACAATATCTTGAAATCACAGAGAAAGAAAATTAAAATGGAGAAATGATTTCACATGTAGGTAGATGGAGGCATAAAAGCAATCTATGAACTCTGGGAGGGAGAGCAATGAGAGTGGTGCTGTCAGATGTGCAGCCTCTTGACCATTAGAAAGAAGTGATGGAAGGCTAATTCCAATAAACAGGCAATTTTAGTTTTGACATTATTTCAGGCTTGGGTTTTTTGACTCTGCTTTTGTGTGTCGTTGAAATATTTGTGTATTAATAGCTACAGATTTTAATAGCATTACAGTAATTTGAACATCTGCAGCTACCAGGCATTAAAATACCATCACTCCCCTGTATTTCAAGTTATTTTTTGCTGTACTTCTGCCTGATTTTGTGAAACCCATTAAAATGCAAGGGATCAGTTCTTATCATTACCCATTAACTGGCAACCTTGAGCTGAAGTGTTCAGCAGGAACCAGGCTGATGCCTGGAGGCCTGGCCAGCAGTTCAGTGGAAGGCAAAGATATTTTATGGCTGTCCTGGAAGCTGAGTGATGGGCTGTGTAACTTTCCTAATCAAATCCAATTAAACACAAAATTGTATTCCCACCACCCCTGCCATCCTTTGTTCCAAACAAATT